CACCGCCCCAGCGCCGGCGTCGCCCCAGCACCGCCACATCACCGCCCCAGCCCATCGTCACCCCAGGCTCGACAGTAAAACTCAGGTAGCAGTTTTTGTTAGGTGTAATTGCGCTCAGGTACCCCTATAGTTTACCCTACTTTTATTTACCCAAGAAATCTGAGACCGAATCCAGGCACTCCGTTAGAGGGAGCGACCAATGGAGGAATAACTGAGATCGCTTCTCCAAGATCTTGAAACCCTCAAGCGATCTGTACCCAATCCCGATCAAAATGATTCCATCAACAAGGTTCACTTGTCAATTCATAGATCTCAGCCCTCCAATTCTGTCTTTTTTTTGAAAATTTTAACCTAACCTGATGTTTGTTTGGGATTTTGTTTCAATTTGTAATTGAATTCTGCAGTTGCAACAAAGAGTACATAAAATCATGAGCATGTCGAAATCGGGGTCCGCCCGGCGATCGAAAGTCAAGGTCTTTACTTTGTATACAAACTTTAAATTGTCTTATTATTTTCCTTATTCCTAATGTTAATTGTGCATGATGGTTAATCTTAAATGTTATGTTGGAGGGTGCAGGATATGAGTGCCGAGGAGGTGGATAGCAACCCCTATAGTAGACTAATGGCACTTCAACGAATGGGTATTGTGCAGAACTATGAAAGGATACGAGATTTCTTGGTCACGATAGTAGTGCGTATTTGTCTCCCTCTTTCTTCATTCTTACTCACTTGCAGTTGCAGTACATACACACTTCAGTGGGGATTTTTTTCTCCCTCTCTGTATACGATTGTATAGTAGTATTTTTGCAGTTTTACTTGGTGGGTCAATGTACAATAATGGTCTAGCAACCACATCAAAAATTCCCAGAAATTTTTTGTGTCGTGTTTAGACCGGAAAGCATTTAATTTTAGGTCGTAGGCAGGTATAGTGTTTTGACAATGGCAAGTAGCACAGTATGGGGTTTAGATCAATATGCCAAGAAAAGGCATCTTTTTCACTACAGGAAAAACCCCAGGCATGACATCTCAATTTGCCGGAGTTCGTTAACTTCTATGATTGGAGAAGTTAGGTACTTTTTACTATTAAAGACTTTTTTTACACATTAATTGCATATTTGATTATTTCTTTAGTGGCATGAAAATTTTATGCACATTATGTACTATGATATGCTGAATACCTGGGGTGCAATGGTTATTCGTCTCACTTTATTGTGGAAAAGATGTATTTTGAACATTTGAGATACAACGCTCCTGATGGATTGGGAGGAGCATGCCGGGAAGAAGTAATCTCTATGATGCGTGCCTAATTGTGGTCAAACGGGGAAACTGAGATTAATATTTTAGCCACCTATGGAATGATATTTCTCAAATATATATGAGCAGTTATTTTTCATCCATATATATGGACACATGCACAGACAGGCAAATTAGTATATCATTTTAAAGATTAATCTCTATGGATACACGCCATTGCAAGTGGTCTGTGAATTAGGATGCCAAGATTTATATTTTTCTAGAGATGAAATGTTATGGCTCTCAATATGAATGAGTCTTTGAGAATTGTATATGCAGGTACCTAAGTGTGCGTAGGTATATAATTTCAAGCTTTACATGCTTTTATATATTTAACTTGTCTGCTTTAGAAACTTGACGCTAACAGTGTTTAATTTTATTCTCATTCTATTGGCAATATAAAATTGGAAATATGACACAGTGGAGTTGGCGAACATGAATAGGCTTTTCTTTCGTTCAGACCAGGTAAGTTTATCTTTCCTCACATAAGTTTTTCCTTCTTTGCTTTGTAAATGGTCAGCTTTCACATATTCTTTGTTCTTTAGATTTTCAATTTCACTTATTAATGTTAGAAATTATTCATTCCTATTTGCTATAGTTTCTTTCTTGATGGAATACTCTTAGTCACAAAATTGTTCCTTATTGTAGGCTGGCATGACCAAGACAGATTCTGTTGTTCAGACTCTTTCAGACATTAACCCTGATGTTGTACTAGAAGTAAGTGACTCTTTAGTATGTTGCTTGTGGTGTAAAATTTACTAACCACATTCCGAGCCATACTGTTTCCTAGATCTTAAAATGTCGACATTACCTTTGATGTACTCCTACCTTTGATGCACCATTGTCTTTGTTTATCATTTTAGCTCATGGACTAAATCCAAATTACAACTATCTTGAATGAAAAATCCATGTGTTTATTTACACTAATTGAATTGTTTTTACTTATTTTCAGTGTTGATCCAGTTAATAAAGAGAAGTTTAAAAACAGACAAGTTGATTCTTTGAATATATCATCCATACATTGTCTAGTTAATCAATTTAGAACTGTGAAGGATGTAGGTAGCCCTATTACTTATACCCGTAGCAAACAATGCTTACCCAATTATCGGGTATATACATATGTACTATGTACATATACTGGAGGCATCAGAGCTTCATTTAGTAGAAAATAAATTCTCTGCCAACTTATCTCAGGCTTTTGTTTCTTGGTTATACTGTTCGTGGGCTGCCACGAGCAGAGTAGGGGGGGGGGAGTTCATCATGTATTATTCTTTGGACAACATGCATTGGAGTGACCAAGTGGAGTTTAAAAGGGAGTATGGTATTTCCTTTTTAAGGGTAATTTGCACTTGCTTCACCCCAGAGTTTCACCATTTTACTTCGATCAGCCTCAGCTTTTAGTTTTGAGAATTTAATACCCAAAAGTCCTAAAGAAGACTAGAGATGATATTGTCTTGTGTAGGATTTTCTTATAAACATAATGAAGCTAGAGGGGCAAATTATTAAGTTCCAGAAATCTTTTCCTCCTAATGTGAGTATGGGAGTTTTGCCAGCCTCCAACACCCCCCCCCCACCCCTTTACCCAAGCCCCAGGTTGATGAAAAGCGCAAACCTCCGCACTTAGGATTTACCACCAAACACACCCACCGAGAGTAATCAGTAATTAAAGATTCCTACCTCCAGAGGTAGTATCTTAGTGGGCTCACCTTTTACTGATGGGTAGATGTGGGGTGAAAAATTTAGATTCTTGGGGTGATTGGGGTATTGATATTTTGACAATTGGAAGGAGTGTGTTCAGGGAAAAGAGTGCATGGCGACATTGGATAATTGATAATTAGGTATGTGGCGGATTGCATTAGCTGAAAGGTGCCATCTTACATAGAATTATAGAACTAGTGGTGCAGTTAAAATATAAAGAGCTTCTTGATCACTCTTCCTGATATTTCACTTGTCTAGACTAAAGAGTAGAACTGGACCACTTAAATTTGAGAAGGGAATGATATAATTTTTGACGTGATGATTTGTGCTGTCAGCAGTATATAAATTGGCTATCTAATGTGTGTTAGTGTTCCTCGGCAGCTTTCAGTTTTCATTTCCATAGTGTTAAGCGCACTGTATTTTCTCCCTTTTGTTGCTTTTTCAATTGTAAAATCTTTCAAAATCCGGTTGGTTTTTTTAGGTAAACATGCAGTTATCTGCTTTATACATTTACCCAGATTTACGAATAGAGTTATGTTAAATGCTCAAACTTATATTGACTCTTGAATCTTTCTTGCTTTTTCTCTTCAATCTTTTCAGTGTTGTAGACATTGACAGTGAGAAGACATCTGCTGCAAGCAGAAGTTCCGATGCCCTTCCAGAAGGTCTCATGCATGAGCTTCCGAGCTCCGATAGACTTCAAGAATCACCATTTAGTCCAGGAGACCGTCACCATCAGTGATGATCTTGAGGATCTCCAACGGCAACTTGATGCCCTCAATGCAGCTTGACTTTACCCAAAGACTTAACATTACCCTGTATCATGAGAAACAATGTGTTAAATAACTTTTAAGATATTTTTGGGATGGTAAAACTCAAGAAGCAGTTATTTAACACCCTTTTGTTATTAGTATTAAATATTTGAGGATGGTGGAATTTTATTTATTAATGTTATTAATGAATGGAGTTTTTATTTTCTCTTTTATTAATTATTGGGTATTTTTAATATATTTGTGTTATGTATCTCAGTGTTATGTTGAGAATAATATGAAGGTTTTCTATGATAGTTGCCTATGAATGAAAAAATTATCATTAATGTATATTAGAAATTTGTAGTCTACAATGACGGTTTTATAAACCATATTTTGTTCATCAACGAAGGGAAAGCACCGTCATTGATGGGTTACTAATTACCCATTATGAGGATTTTTACGACGGTATCCAACCGTCATTAATTAGTCTTCAACGATGGGAAAATATCCCCGTAACTAATGGTAACGACGGTAAAATATCCCCGTAACTAATGGTAACGATGGGAAAATATCCCGTCGTTGATGGTAACGACGGAAAAAAATCCCCGTCACTGATAGTAACGACGGTGATAATTACCGTCGTAAATATTAATGACGGTAATATGTTCCGTCGTTATAGACTCTATAATGACGGGTAGTATATCCCTTCATGACCCTTTAGCGAAGAGGGCTTCAACGACGGGTGACGAAGGGATTTTTTCCCGTCGTTAGCATACAATAACGAAGGTTTTCAGCTCTTTAACGAAGGGAAATCCCTTCGAAGGGAAATCCCTTCGTTAAAGATGTAATTTCTTGTAGTGTCATTCTCTTCAAATTTTTTATGAATCATTTTCCTTTTAGATTATAGGAATACCAGTTAATGAGCTGATTCCAATCACAAGATCTCCATGTGAATCTCATCCAGTCCATCACCTTATTGCAGATATCAGTCGAGTACTGACATTCAAAGAACAGGTGCCTGCAAGTTTCCATGTGACTAGAACACAAGACGCATTGATTAGTGTCAAGTATGCTCAATCGGCACAACCTTTCCTGAGTGAGAAGTCTGGAGTGATTGACTAACCAAAGAACAATTGAGTGCTTAGGATAGTGTCCCCTCCCCCCCAAGTTGTATCCGACCAGGCAACTGAAGTAGCTAGCAGACGTTCAACTCGTGTTTGAATGAGTCAAACGCAAAGTTCGCGTTCAGGGAATGGACTCTGCGTCTTGGACTTCGGACGCAGAGTCAGGCTCTGCGTTTGGGTCTGAAAACGCAGTGGTGAACCTTGCGTTTTGTTCTTGGAATGTGGATGTGAGTTCCGCATTTTGTTCTTGGGACGCAGAGATGAGCTCTGCGTCTTGACTCTAGAATGCAGAGGTGAGCTTCTGCGTCTTGAGGTGAAGAGACCGTCAACTTGTAGTCTCTTTTATTAGAGTGTTGCAAAGATTGTCTCCTCGTAATATTTGTCTTAGCTCCTTGAAATATGAGAATCGTCAGTTGTAACTCTTGTTGGTGATTGTGAAGGTCGTCGAATCAAAACTTTTATCAGTTATTATGAAGGTCGTCGAATTGTAACCTTCGTCGATTGACGTGAAAGTCTCCTAATTATATGTTCTGAAAGTCATCAAATTGTAACTTAAAAGGAAATCAAATCACAGATTGATGATAGAAAAATAAAAAACTAGAGAACAAATCACAAAGACACGTAGACTTAACGAGGTTCGACGAGTATAACCACTCCAAGAATCCATTATTAATCAAGACAGGATTACCTGAAGTTTCTAAAACCCTAATCTTACCTCCCTCACCTCTCTCTTCTGGATAATGATCCTAATAAGGTGGCTAAAGATACATATTTAGTTATTTAATCAACTCACAAACTGTAAGTTCAAGTTTTGTTGGGGGTGTTGTGCGCAGCGGAAATTTCGAAAGAGTTTCTGGTGCACAATAAGAGAGAAAGATCGCAATAAGAATTTCCGTCCCACCAAGAAAATAAGAATCTGAAGCGAATATCTCAACAAAGTGAGATATCAGCTCTTCCTCTCATTAGTTCTAGGACTGATCTGTCAAGGGAACCTAATAAACTATTATAATGGCCACAAACAGCAAATCATACAAGTTTTACGTAGTTCGGCAAATTGCTTACGTCCACGGGGCAAGGAAGGGGAGATCTACTATTAGAGAGAAAAAGAATACAAATATGTTTACAACCACACAAGATCTCACAAATAATTCTCAACCAATCTCTCAATTCCTCACTCAAAAGCCGTTCAAGAACCCTCTGTATTTCACCTCACACAGCCGCCAAAAACGCACACAGCCTTGCGCCGCTTTTTCTCTCTGCTATTCTCTCCTTGCACACAACCTAGGGGAAAACGTTGGCTGATATTTATAAAGCTCAACTTTCGTTTCGGGTGGGCCACCACGCACGCGGAAACGAAACCGCGTTCGACACTTGGTTTCGCACGTGGGTGGCCCCCACTCTTCCTATTCACAGGGGGGTGTTAGTAATCTGTAGGCCTCCAACTTTACTCACGATTACATGTATCAACTATAAAACCAGGCTCCACAACACAATATTTATAACTAGGGGAAATTTTTTCAACGTGCCTTTTACCCCCAAAACCGCCCCCGATTTTCTTCCAGCCCCCAAAACGAATCCCCAGGCGTAACGCCGTTTAAACCCTGCTCGAAATGCCCAAAATACCCTTACGTTTAAAATTCCCCGTTATGAGTTACCTCCTCGTCCGTACCCTGTCATCTCTCTCTTCTGCAAGCAAACCGACTCCATAAACCCAATTCAAAACCCTAGCCCTAAATCAACCGACCCCAACGCAAACCGAATCAAAGCAAAGGGATTAAAATGGCCGGCGATTCAACCCCCAAAGCCAACCTCAATGCCGACCACAGCGAAAGCGATTACGCCCAG